CACCCCCCCCCCCCCCCCCCCTACTCCTGATTAGAGCCTAAGCACCCGCGATTTCGGTTCCTGCAAGTCTGGGAGTGACTTCAGACGAAAGCCCCTGTCCAGGTTAAGGATTGAGGGATCATTACTCCAAATATGGCCATCATAGGGTTTACGGTTTAGGAGCTTCACAATGAGGTTTGCGGGTGTAGTATAGTATGTTGACAGTCAGGACCCTTCAGCATCGACGCCGGCCTGGTCACCATCATGACTCAATTTCGCCACGATCATCAAATCACTACAACAGGAACAGCGACTGGATGAAGCTATTATTCTAAGGTTGAACCCATGGGCCNNGGCCCCTAGTATGGGCCCTTAAGGCTGGGATCCTTAGATACCGACTACATACCCTATATGTACCCTTAAGGGTCCCTAGAAAGGCCTAAGGGTCCATATTATGGGCCCATACTTCTAACCTTCGAATTATTGCTGCAGCGGACCGAGTTATTAGCATCTCTGGCCCGAACAGGTATCGCGCGGGCCGGGCGAGACAAAGGCCTCGCAGATGCGCTGAGGACCGGGGTGCTTACTATATGTTATACCACATTCTAACGAACAAGGCGCCTATTTTGGACCCGCCCCCTTGCCCCCAACACCGGGAATCACGGATGACAGAAGCCTAAAATCCTGGCCTTTGGGCTTGCAGACAGGATCGCTGATTGCTTGATGGGCGACCTTTTCCGATGGCTGGGCCCAGGAGCCGCCCTGAAGTCTGCCTATAGTTCCCATTTAAAGGTAGGGTTTAGGGTTTAGGGTTTAGGGTTTAGGGTTTACCCATAGGCCCCATAGTAGTTCCTGTTTGGGGTTCATATTTAGAATCCTTCAACGTACTCCAAAAAGGAACTACTATGGGGCCTATGGGTAGGGCCATTTAGTTCCTTTTTTGGCTTCCTATTTAACAGCAAGGTCGCCAGAGAATCAAGTGGGTAGTTGTCAAAATTAGGGTCCCTTTTTGGCTACCCTAAATAATAGGTGCCGTATTATAATAAGGACCCAAAAGGGGACCATAATTTTGACAACCACCCAAGTACAACAGAGTTTATAGGCTTGCGTTGAGCATTGAACACCTTGCCTTGGCCTCTGGGTTTACAGCTTTTTAAGAGTTGCACGTGAGTGTAGGGCTTTTTAAGTCTGGCAGTGTTGTTCTATCGGGAGCCGGTGTAAGTTGGTACAAGGTTTGAGACAGGTGTTTTGGTGTTGAAGTTGGGCGTGTTGGGAGTTTTGGGGTGTAGGCTGAGTGGTGCAGAGTTTAGGGGGTTGGGGTCTGTAGGGCAGGGTCTTCGAAGAATTCGTAGGAGCCTCCCCTTGTAATCCCGATATAGGTAGTATCATGTGCCGCAAAACCCTATTCCGATAACGGTATCCTAGAGCCTGAAGCCTAACCTGACAGCATTGAAGGTGGCAAGAAGGGGGATCCCAAAGCAGGTGACAGGTTACGGCCTCTGGTTCGGGGATCGGTTAGGTCTTACTTAAAGGATCATGGGACTTAGTATATAGGGTTATAACTAAGGTAACTATACTTCTAACCCCAATTAGGGGACTTATAGCCTTACTTACTAAGTCCCATGATCCTCCAAGTAACGTCGGTGTCAGGTTTCATGGTTTGCGGATTCCTCGGGATTTGTGTCAGTGTCCAGTGTTTTTTCGGGTGTTCCTCTCCTATCAGATTCCAGTGCCCTGCTTTGTTCTAAGTTTGGATGATGGTTCGAGATCCTTCCTTATACGATCTGTGGCACATCGGGGTTTCGGCTGGTGTAGACAAGCCTTTTTAGCAAATGTCTATTCCGGAGTCAGCAAAGAACACATTCCTGCAGCGCCAGTAGAAAGTTCCGTACACTGTATGCAGTAGTACATGCTACCAAACCAAAACGCGAATAAATACATCGCCAGACACATATGCATCCTCGCATACACGGCAGGCATGCGTAGGCCAAGGGCGTGTGGACTCTCTCCCTCGCTCCATATGCCACCTATAAAGCAGGCCTTGCGGCCCAAGAACCCGAATCTCAGCGCCCACATACTGAGCGGAACATGCTCCATGCTTTTTCGGTGCTCAGGCTGAAGGTGTTTAAGGACCAGGGATCAGGGTTCACTCCTGACATCTCCTGACTATCCAGTGCTTTAAGTCTTTAAGTTTAAGAAGGCCTCAGGCCACTATAAGCTGCAGGATGAGGATCACAAAGACTGTGTGCATCCTAAGTCCCTGAGCCCTAAACGCTACAAGCCGATAGCATGCCTAGACTCCAAGCCACCCTAAACCCCTAAAACCCTAAACCCCTAAACCCTTACTAAACCGAGAACCCTAAGCCCTAAACCCTAAACCCTAAACCCTAAACCCTTACTAAACCGAGAACCCTAAGCCCCAGGCTCGGAGTCGCCTTTTTGTGTTTGAGTAACCTCGCCGGTGAGCTTTGATCTCTGCAAGGCGCGAGGGAAAAAAGCTCTGTACATCCCACAGCCTGTTAGGACCAAACAGGTACTGCAAGGCTGTATCTGGATCCTGAACCTAAAAGCTACTGTTCGAGTGTCTAAATTCTACGCAGGACAGGGGCGCACGACGAAGGTGGCCGAACTGGATCGCGACACAGTGGAGGAGGGGAAGCTAAGCGCGACACTCTCAAAATATCTCAAAATCCTGGAGCCCTAGACACACTGCGCACAAGCTTCCCCAGTGCTCTGAGTTTTTCCTTTTTCTTTGGGGCGGACTGGGTGAGGTTCCTTTCACTTTCTGAAGGTCCGTGAGAAGGCATTCCTTGAATAGGGGCTGCCGGGGGTAACTCAGTATAAGTACCCGGTACAAGCTTTCTGCATCTAGGAGCCCATTCTGGTCTTTGTGTCTGTATAGGACTTGTTCCCGGGGTTGTTCTAAATGATGGTCCCTTTTCGGGGGCCCTTTAGTAGTACAATCCTTACTACATAGGGTACCCCAAAGGGGACCGTAACTTAGAACAACCCCCACATGAGGCCATTGCATGCCCAACTGGGTGTTTTCCATCACCAAGGCCGGTTTGAAATTCCTCCGATCCGAAACTCTACGGCCCTTTAACGCTCATAGAAACGTACGTGTTTCCATGCCCGCCAAATCATGGGTGGTCCTGGTAGCGATATAAAACTTCTTAAGAAATGGCGGCAGTTAAAATGCGCTGTTGTTTTGCTTATCCCTTGTCTTATTCCCATCATCATGAAATCAGTATGGCTACATGCTTCTACTACTGCTACTACTACTACTACTACTACTACTACTACTACGACTACTACGACTACTACTACTACTACGACGACGACAACAACAACTACTACTACTACTACTCCTCCTCCTCCTACCACTACTACTACTACTACTACTACTACTACTACTACTCCTGCTACTACTACTACTACTGCTACTACTACTACTACTACTACTACTACTACTACTACTACTACTACTACTACTACCAATCAAAGGGCCTGGATTTCCAGACTATGTCAGACCACGTCATTAGTCCCC